AATGTGCGAACCGATCTTTTTGAAGTAACCTCCTGGATGATCCCATGCTACTCACGGAAGCAGTCTCACTGGCTCCTTGGCATTGTGAACTTCGAAAAACGAGAGCTCCGCTATCTGGATAGCATACCTCTCCCTGAAACCTTCGACATAAGTCATCATGGCCCACAGTGGGTTTTCGCAGTGCGTCATCTATCGTAGTCCACACTGCAGTGTTGGAAATCCCCTTTCCTCAGATACTTGGGCAACTGGTTGATGCCATCTGGTCGTTTGTTCACCCTACCCGTGTATTCGATTGGTCTAATTGGGGATCCAGAGTAGTCACCATAGGTGTCCCATCCTTCAACATTCTGAGCATGATATAATGAAAAACCCTAGAAAGAAACTCACCAGTGGAATGGACATGACTGTGGCGTTTGGACTATGGCTGACATTCAGGCCGTGCATATCGGGCTCGATGCCGCTCCCAATGGTACAAACGTCGATCACTTTCGAAACAGGGTGAGGCACCAGATCCTTTCCCTTCCTGTTTCAAATCCACGCTGGCAGCCCACGTGGAAAACCTTGGACACAAGTCTCCTTCGTGAACTGCGGTCGCAAGCTGCTATGGTGGCCTCAAGATTTCCTGTTGATTATGCCCAACTTGGGATTGACCATACTGACGCACCGTTAGTGATGGACGGTGAACAAGATCAGATAGATTTGTCCGACTAGTCGAGATCCTGTATGCTTGGTTCTGAATTCAAGTTTACCAACAAGATATTTAACATAGCAATCTGGTGGATCGCCCCTTCCTTTATCTCGACATTAAGGAGCTTTCCATCAGTGTCGGAGTATAAGCCACTCTTCGCCACTCCTTTGTCCCCAACTTGTCCGTAGTCCTTCCCCATGCCCGAGATGCCTCTTGTCTTATTCGCCTCACTCGAACAATGTACTCCCACTTGTCAGGGCACACCCGCCTGACCCGGCTCCACCCGGCCCAACCTGACCCGGTACCCCGCCGGTCCACCCCTCCTTACCTCCTCCCCCTTTCCCTTCTTCCCCCTCATCCTCCCTTCCTCAGTTTCTCCTTATCTTACTTCTCCTTTATTCTCTCTTTATTCTACACGGACGACTTTCTCTGTATCAATGTACAACTGACCCATCTGCAGCACGCCCACCATGTACCCGGCCCGGGCACCTCGGGCGACTTCCCGCTGTGCCCAGCACGCGTGCCTGCACTGGATACCCTCGGGATCTCCCACGGAGACACCCGGGTGGTTACGGCTGTGTGCGAGGGTGACGTGGCACCCGTCATGTGATCCAAGCCGCATGTATATAAACGAACCTGAAGTGGGAACCGAAGAAGTAGCCTTCTTCTCAACTTTCCACTTCAGTCTAAGTGGCCAGGGACCGCTGTCCCACATCAGGCCTGTCAGTACGCACGCCCGATCCACCCCCCGCCAGGCTCTCGGTCCCGGACGTTATACCCGGACCCCCTCGACCCCGGACGAGTCCCTGACACCACTGCGAGGAATGGAAGATCACTCGCCAAGGTCACAAAATAATGCATTTGTGTCCTGGGTCATGTCTGACACCCATTGAGAAAGCCTACCAGCCCGATAAATTCATTAGAAATAATATATTTATGGCAATCCAGTGTTAAGACAAAAGAAAGAAAGGTATCATGGACGAAACCCAGTGTCATAAATGCATAACTCGCCACATGTGTTGGCAGTCCATGTCGATACGCTTGCAGGAGATCGACCCTTGCGGGCCTCTGAGCAGCCTGGTCATGGTTCATGAGAAACAAGCTGGGTCAACCTGCCTGCGCAGTCACTAGGCATGTTTTCATTAAAACTGACCCAACTCCCTCATCAATGTAAAGTGTTCCCTCGCTTGTGAATCCTGCCACTAGCACTCTACCTTCCCCGATGCACCAAACAAGCTGGGAACCCCTGTGTAGCATGTTTGACAGGTTGCGAAGGCGACACTGGACCACCAGGTGTCTTGGTGGACATTATACCGAGGTCAGTACGAAGTGCCATGTTGGACAAATTAGTCAACAGCGTCGCCGGAACGGAACGAGCACTCGAGAGAGTTGTGTGTCTTGTCAGACTCGAGGCATCAGAGAACGTGGGAGGAGTCCACTTTCTGGACACGTCAGGGCTTTGAGTCATGATTGGAGTTGGTACAGACAATGTAGAAGGGCTATCTGGTCCGATGCCGATGGCTAGGTTGTGCGAAGCTACGAATGTTGAGGCGAAGGCCACCAAATTCCGCACGATGAGAGAATTGGGATCATTCTAACGACGTGAGACCAACACTGTCAGTAATCCTAGAACTGAATGGCCGAGACTGCTGCAGTGGTGCCAGGTCAAGTATAGCTGACCCAACTCCCTCATCAATGTAAGTGTTCCCTCGCTTGTGAATCCTGCCACTAGCACTCTACCTTCCCCCTGGCACCAAACATGCGTGACTTGGCTACCACCCACGCTGGGGATGGCACCTCAACAGCTGCTGATCTTCGTGACAGCTGTCACACATCATCCAAAACGCCACTCGATTTCTTGCTCACCCCTTCACACTACCACTACCAAGCGGGTGATACAGGAACTACTACTCGGTAAAAACCCTTGCCCCCTCCTTCAATTCTTTCTGCTGCAAACTCATCTGAATACTACAAATTAGTTCGAACCTGCGAATCGTTCGAAACCCCCCCACCCCCCCCAATTCCAAATGTCGAGACCCCTTCGCCTCAAAACAATGCCAGGACCTGAGTTTACTCGAGTGCAGGTCCATTTGCCACCCCGGAATAGATCGTACAAGCGGGTGTGGGCAAAATATCACGTCAACTTTATCGCTCAAAACCAAAACCATGTATCGGATCTCTTCATGTACTGTGATGGGTCGCAGTACCGGAACAATGGAGTCACGAAGACAGGGTATGGGGTGGTTGGCTACTCCAACCAAAATGTAGTGTTTGAGGAGAGGGGGAGGGTCGGCAATGTCGATACATTCGAAGGGGAGATGATGGCCCTTCAAGTAGCAGCAGCAGAAATAGAAAAGACAATCAAGGCTATCAGCATGGCACCCCAGCCAACCCGCATTTTCATATACTCCGACGATGTTACATCGATCGAACGAATCATCGAGCCCACGCCGAAAATAGGATGCCAGTACTCGAAAGAATTCCGGAAAGAGATGGGCAAGTTGCTGCAAAACCGGCCGCATATTGATATTGTGATAAGTTGGTGCCCATCCCACCAGGGCATTCAAGGAAACGACCAAGCAGATAGCCTAGCTAAGGCTGGCGCCCTTGGATATTAATGTCTTCGCTGTTGAATGCACACATGTATCATAATTTTCTTTTTTCTCGTGCATTGCACATGGATAATTATGTATCATAGTTCTCCTGTTCATTCCCATTGTGCAGCACATATGTTTTCCAGCCTTACATTATACCCAAACTGACCCCCCTCATTTCAACGAGGTGTTCACTCACTGCACCAATATTAGTCATCCATTCAGCCACATTGTCATCATTCACATGTGTAAAATATGTATAACAGTGTTCCCTAATGAGTACAAAGATTCACCCACTCCATGAAAGAGATTTCGCATCACTGAGTCTTGTTGGCACTCATCGAAGCTTCAGCTCGAAGCTTCTGAAGCTCGTCCTCCAACTCCTTGCATCTCGATTCCAGGTTTGTATACTCGTTTAAATCGACACCACAGTGTTGGCACCTTGGGTCCTCCCCAATAGGGGGCCAACGTTCCATAGCTGAGAGTGGGTCGAACTCATTGTGTGTTCGTACCATGCCTAAATGCATAAGTGAAGCTTGTTTGATTGCCCTTGGAAACACTTGATTAGTACCTTGTCATCCAATCATATAAGGCATCTTACTGCTTCACCTTGTGGGATCTGGCCGAATGAGTGGCAGATTGGGTTCCTGTAGTTAGGGAGTCTGATACAGGGTCGATCTCTCTTATTTAATGACATGTTAGCTCAATATCTTACATATTAGAGCGATGTATAATCATCTCCTACACTCTGAGCTTTTCCCGACGATTGCGCTGTTGCTGCGTATTAGCCACCTGGCACTCATCGGCTGTGGCATACAAACGAGGACGTCCATGACCTCGTTTCTCCTTAGCATTGGTGATTCCCACCTATGATAGACCAACTCAGTATTAAAAAGCTATTGGGATGGCAAAGTCGCACCTGAGGAATATCCATGACAGCTTGATCTGAACTTCGTCAGAGTTAATCCCATGCCAATTGAGGTCACGAGCCTATTCTCGTTTCGACAACCTTTGACGTTGTCTGGTCTCTTCACTGCATCCCAACAATCCGAGGGTAACTGCTGGTCATTGTAATGTAAGTACTATTCTGTTCGCCTTTCATACACAATCTAAATCCTTTGCCTTCTCTAATAATTTGTGGTCTCGACCTCATTGGACAGCGTGGCAGCCACCAATCCTTGTAACTGTTAAGTACTTTCCCTGTTCACCTTGCGTACATGTGTCATTCGAAACTCGTTCTGATCTTTTGTTTGCTTGCAGCCTTGTCACAACGTCACCGTGACACCTGCTTAATCGACCAACCTGTCTCAGGCTCCAGTGGGTACGAATCTCATTCCCTTGTACACACCTCGTTCACGTTGCAACGAGACACAGGAATCACAATCGGGTTCGTGCTGGCATTGTTCCGTTCAGGAGCCTTCGGTGTTTCTAGAAGGTGGAGAGTCTTAGTGGCTCGCTGCCATCACGGAGATATCGATTGATCCTAGACAGTCTGGTCACCCAGGCCATTGGACCTCTTCCACGATAGGGGTGTGATCGGTCCTTCTACTTCACTCTCCGCATTGTAGCCTTTTCCCCTGCTTGATTGGCTTCCCAGATATTGGTCAAGCCCCATCCCAGGTCGCATGACGCTTTCTACACGGTCGATCTTGTTGCTGCCACCTTATCCCTTTCTCCGTGAGGCCGGAAACCTCCAGTTGGAGGTCATTCACTTGACTATGAGCTCTGAAGCCATGGAGGCCTCGCCTATTCCCATTCCCAATGCTAATCGACTTTGCCAGGGCTGGAAAATAAATCCTCATGGGGCGCGACGGTATTTGTGGTGCTTCGTTCATCCCATGCCCCCGCCTACACCATCACCCGAGCCCATTTCTTTCCCATATCCTGATCGCAAGGAAGGCTGGACTGTAGGAAAGACTTTCGGTGAGGTCTTCCTCAAGAGGCTAGACCTGTTGAAGTGGACCAAATCCATGAAGAGGGCAATAACGGATAATAACAAGAGCATTGCAGAATGCATCTGCATGCAGCACTGGGAGCATGTCAAAAACCCGGATTGTAGGGGTAAATGCGTGAGTCCGAATGCAGGCGGGGCTCAACTAGAGGGGGAATCCAAGAGCTCCGGTGGTGGACCGAAGCTTCTCCAGGAAGCCCGGTTCTGCTGGATGGTACAAGAGGCTCTAAGAAGGACACGGCCTCAGCGACTCGGAGTGTTACAAAAATGGGGCCGGAGGCGCCCATTTTCGTCCGTTCAAGGCGCAGGGAAAAGGAAAGAGGAGGGAGAGGGTCCATTAGAGGTTACAATGGTTTCACAGTTGGTGTAACATGTGGTTTAACAAATAGTTCACAAGTGGCGATTTTGGTGGTTAATTGATTGGTTAAACTATATTACTATATAAATCACATGATACAGAACCCATAAGAGTCTAAAATGGGAAATTCCCATTTCCATAACACGGAGGGAGCGCTGTGCCTCCGTTACGTCTCAGTTAGTCCTTGTATTTCTTATGTCTGAGGTATCTTGTAGAACGGAACAGGATTCACTCAGAGGGACTTTGGGTGGCATTTTAGTCGAGATTAGAACTGAGGAACTACAGGTTCTAATCTACGGGTATTTATAAAGGAGAATGGGAAGGACTTAGTCAAAGTCCGAAATGACAAATGGGACAACACCGAAAGGTCCCGAGCGATATCTTAAACGGGGAACCAAGGTGTCGGGCCAAGGAGGGTGGAGTTGGAGGCCGGAAAATGAATGGTAGGAAGAAGGTAGTCATGCTAAGAATGGAAGGTGACTAATAAGTGATAACGTGAGGGAGATCACCGAAGGATGTGGGTAGCTCCAAAAGCGTGAGGAAATTTGTATCCGGTGCGACTACTGGACTTATCCAGAGCTCCAAATTCTTATGACGTAAACCAGCGTGACTGGACAAATGACATAAAATGGACAAGCCTGGTATCAAACCCAGGACTTCTAGTGTGCATCCATACACTACTCGCCTGTTATGCCAGGGGGGGGTACCCCTTCCCTGATGGTTTGGGAGATCACTTGATCCCTTCCTCCAACAAAGCAGAGTTGTGTATCCGAAGGATGTTAGGTGACTCAAATAAATGAAATAGGTGGAGGAATGGTTTAAGGGCATGTCACGGGATGTCGGAGGTCCGTCGGGATATCGGAGCGAATCTGGGGTCTCCGAATGTTCCGACTTGGGACCAAGCTTCCGGGATGGGAGTGGCCAAGGTTCGGTGTGCCGCAACCAGACCGGAGCTGAGACAGTCAGGAGGGAAGGTGACTTGGGGAGTGGGGAGGCATGGTGTAGGGGATGGTGAAGTTGTTAGGAAGGTGTGGTGTGGTGGGAGTGCACAGGGTCGGGATTCCGGGATATGACAGAGCAGCATCTCATCGGAACTACATCATCAGGACCGATTGGTATAGCCGATGAGGTGGCCTCTGCATTTTCCAATGCCCGTTATCACGACCGTTTCAAACCCACTGGACCAACATATCCCCCTGGGGCGGTTCGGTTCTTTTCCCTGTGTACTCTTACCGAGGATGGAGATATCCTGCTGAGACTCGCTGGACATCCATTCTGCCCGCTGGAGGATGATGATGGGGTCTCTTCTGAACCAGAAGAGTTCTTTAGTGAGAACGACTGGGCGGAAGAAGAGGAGCCTTCTACGTCACCCTCAGAAAGGTATGATTCCTCAGTTCCATCAACACCACATACCTCTCGCCTCTACTCTCGTTCTGGTCGAGGGTTTCGTCGACGAACTTGATCTCCCCTTCGACGAAGCCCTTATCCCCGTCAATGCTCAGGCACACCAAGGAGGGGACCTCCAGGGCTGCGGTGGGATTTACGCTGTCCTTTCGAGGTGTGAGAGGATCAGGAACGTCCAGTTCATCGAGCCCAACGGTGTGCATGTTGGGTGCCTCCCAGGTTGCCTTTAACCCGGGAAGTCTCACATCATTCCTCTCGTCCCACAAACCGCCCAGGACAGCGGACCGCCGGATATGATCACTGTACGGCTGTAGAGTGTTCCTATGCGCCAGAACACCGTCGCCCTCCTTTGCCTCCGGCCATGGAGGGTGTCCAGGAAGCCCAAAACCTGTTAGCCCATGCCTCAGTCCCCACTTCCCAATCTCGACAGGAACTCCATCCACTCCCCCCATCATCCTCCTATGAGTCGTCATCAAGATCGAAAGCACTTCCATGTGTGCCCAGACAGCATCACCCATCCCTCGCTGTAGGAGAAATAATATTCAAAGAATAAAACAATGATCTATCAGAATACTCAACAAAAAGGTGACAAGTTCAGACGTTTAACAGATCTCATGATCTTTATGAGACTGGACAGACATTAGAAGATCATTATAAATTATCTACACCCATGTAGCATGAGATTTAATCTACTACAAGCATGCCTAGAACCTGGCATAGGTGTAATATTCAAAGAATATATCCCTACAACAAGAAAATAGCACATAGACGGCAGAATAAGAAGGAACATTGGGAAAGAAATGTGAATATCTCGGGAACCAGTAAACTTTTGACTGTAATCTTTTTACCATCTGAAAGGACTGTTTCTAAACTTTATCCACGGTTTTGTTCCATTTTAAAAGCTTCAGAACTGACGGAGATATCGCTCAAACGGCGAAACACCTTATAATTCATATATATTTATTTGCTAATTCTTATAAAAAGTAATGTGACTCAAGGGAAATATATTGGCACCCGGAAGTCTGGCGGACCGAATACCATATGACAGAGTATTTCCCGACGCGGGCGGACAGTTTTTGATCGCATCAGAAGAGGAGAAAATGCTAAAAAACCGGATCTTGTATATTTTCCCATGATTCATCAAAACTTTTTGATTTTAAGCTCAAATAAATCGGAACAAAGGAATTATTGATGATCTGGATCTCGGATCATAAGCATAAAGTGATTCAGAAGTCAGCGGATCAGTTAATTAATTGGGAAAGCTCTAGAACATTAGTAATGATGTGGCTTCACAAAAAGGGGTGATGTCAGAGACCAGATTCGAGACGAAGGAATGTCTCCGTAGTGGAGGGCTTCAGCCTCAGCGACTTCTGCCAAGAGCGCTGTGCCTAGTGACACGTCCGTGCCCTAACTTACTGACTGGCAATTAGAACCTAGGGGGGTAACTCTAGTTGATTTTACTACTGGGGTGTAACCTATGTACAAGTGGGATATATATATGGTTACAGCGGAGCCGAACGGAGCGGAGCTAACGGGGTTTAAACATTAGCCGACTGAATATTACCAACGAGTCGGTTCGCAGGGTTAGCGGAAAGGCAGGCGATAACCCAGAAACGGAAAGGAGGGATAGGCCCGAAGGTGGGCTCTGCAGGGCAGGCGAGTGTATTGCCCAGCGAAGGCGGGGGTGCGCTAGCGGACGTCGGAGCTGTCCGGAAGTCTTCGGGGCTCCGTACTTAGGGAGGCATAGGTAATAAATTGAAATGAGGGGGTGGTGACCATCGAGGGGTACCGAGAGGATTGCGGAATACGGGAGCTCCGAGCTTAGTGAGGGAGGAGCGGAGTTAGACCGGAGGGATCGGAGGAACCGGAAGTCGATGGCCGGGGATGGATATGACAGGTGAATTAGAGAACAGTCTAGAAAGTTCCTTTATAGCCGAGTCATTTCTAAAGATAACCGTTCGTAATTAAGGCGGTGTAGAGCATAGCTTCAGCGCTACAAGATCCCGCTAAGATCGGCCCAAAAGACAAAGAAATGAATTACTTATTGCTGAGTCATGTCCTAAGTCCATTATTAAGCTTACACAGCCCAAGCCCCTATATCATTCTAGAACTATCTATAATACAAATGTAGCACATGTAACTAGTGCGAGGCGTGGGAGTAGAGAGGCCTCTGAAAAGCATAAAAGGCTGCCGCTTCTGCCCCCTCTCAAACCTCAGGTAGAAATAAAAGTTTAATTCTCCTCACCAGTGGTTGGTTCGTTTGCTCCAAAAGATAAAAGCAAATATTAGTTGTTAGCTAATATAAAACTAACACATCACTCTAAGCGTGAGTTAGGGTCAGTTAGACACAGCTGAACAAAAGTGTTACAGTGAGAATTAGTGAGAATTTGGTGGAGGGACTTCTTAATTGAATAATCTCTCAGTAATATTTGGTTATCACACCACAGGAGAAAAGTGAGCGATCCTGAATGTTATAGAAATGGGAATTTCCCATTCTAGCCTCTTCTGGGCCTTGCACACAGCCACTGTCAGGTGATTTGTATGGCACATGTTATTAATTAAGTTTAACGAATCAATAATCAACCAAAAACCCGAGAGTAATGTCTCTGTGAAAACATCTATAACAACACCTACCATATCTATTGTAAAATCATATGAGCTCAACTTCTACCCTTTTCCACTTTCCTGTGCCAAGAACGGACGAAAATGGGCGTCTCCGGCCCCATTTTTGTAACACTGAACCTGCTAGATAACTAGCATGCACTCTAAGCGATAGAAAGAGCAGTTTGGTCACTCCTGTATTGAGTAACATTTATTGCGGAATTATTTTATTAGTAGTTTTCCTTCAGTAAATTATCAGGAAAATCATGTCCTACTGAAAAGTGGTATATCTAGGTGTAATATTGACTAGAAATCATAGTAAAGTCGATATAGAATTTTATCCATAGACGATCTATACGTCAGGTGAGATCGTGGGGGGGTGTTTATTGTTGGTTAGACAGTGAACAATTATATATTTGGCAACCAAAACACGGTCAGTACGCAAATCAGCACAAACTCTAACATCGTTATTGGATGTAGGAAACTGGTTACATAAGGTGATCCAGCTCCGCTCCTTCATCGCTGTCAGGGCAATAGCCCCGAACCCCGAGTCACATGTAAACTAGATAGATATAGTCACGTGGACAAGCGGGAACCTCCGGGTAACCGCTTACACACCACCGTAAAATACATCATCTTGTATCACTTACGGCTTTGTGTGCTGAGCAACCCCAAAGACCTCACACTTTTTTAAGTGCATGAGGTGTGTTTTACAACACAACCCACAACTATAAAATCTCAACATCTGATTCGGAAGCGCTTATGGCGCCTAAACACGCCCGCAAGGGCAAGGTCGCATCTGCAGCGACGTTAAAAAGAAGCGAGCGGTTTATTAAGAAACCGCAATCTCCCATCATGGGAGATTCAAACCAAAAGCCGTCGTCAGATGACGACGAGGATCAACGCGATCCAGGAAAAGCAACCACTTCAGGGCTGGTCCCTGAAGACTTTAGAAACTTACGTGGAGTAAGTGCGGGGCAAAATACCCCCAGAACTCCACAACAAACCGATCTAACCCAAGCTGGGGAAGATCCCTTATCTCCTCACGAGGTAATCGACTTGCGCGAAAAACGCGTAAGCGCCGAACGATCAGCCCAAAAAGCTGATCGGATAGAGCCGCAGGAAACCCCAGGGCCCCACTATCCCCTAGAGTTCCCAATCACGTCCCCAAGTCAAGCCCTAAAGGCAGACAAAGGGAAACAAAGGGAAGAAACCCCGCGTCGGCTATCCGAAAAACTACTGGACTTGTTCCAGGTTCCGTCCGAATGGAGGACGGAAAGTGAAGATCAACTTCTTCTCAGGCTGAAAGCCCGAGAAGGCGCGAAAATACGCCCTGAGAGCAGGATCTCTCAGAGCGCGGAAGCTCCAAAAGAGCCTCTGCTGTTTACACCCCCACGCACCATGCCAGACAAGGCAAGGTCGCCAACTTTGGAGGAGGTCTCCGAGATAATGAGGAGGAGGCGAACTGAAATGAGGGAGTTCGCTGAGGAAGCCTTACGTAAAAATAAGGAGAAACCAGCGAACAGACCCCTCTATGAAAGGGAAGCACCCTCCGCAACGGCCTCGCCAAAACAAAGCGAGCGTGGAGTGTTCACTCCAAGAACCCATTCTGGAACTCCCAGAAGCGGAAATGTCAACTGGGGAGAGTCACTGCTCGCCCAACCAAACTTCCTCCTGGAAAACCAGGAATCGCGCATAATAAACGCGATAAACTCGATCCAGAAAAAGATTGAGGAAACGAACCATAATAGCACGGCTCGTCTAGAGATAACTCTAGAAAGAATGGCCAACGCAATTGACGCGTTGACAGAAAAAATCAGCGAACAAACAGATTTGCTGAAGGAAATAAACTCCTCACAAAAAAGTGAGGAAACAAATAAACACCCCTGGACCACGGTCCAGGACATAAATAGAACTCGTGAAAAATTCACGAAAAGAACCACCAGTGAAAGCACACTGGAATATCACCAGCGACTCGACAGAGACGCTAAGGAGATCCTTCTCCCAAGGATAGGAGAAGACGATGCCGAGAGAAGACATCGTTCAGAGATCAGAAGGAGAATTGGCATGTACCAAAGGTTGGCCAAACATCCAATTATGACGGACCTCTCGAACAGAGAGGTAACGCATTCATACCCTCTCAAAACAATGAGAGAATACAAATACAACTTCAGGCGAATTCGCCTGAAACCAAAGAAATGCTGCGAGAAAGATTCCCCCCAGCAAAAACCCCCCCAAAGGAGAGATCTCCATTGGACAGCGACCCCGCGAAGGCAGGGGAGCAAGAAGAGTACCTGGAGAAATGGTACGAAAAGGCCATAAGAATGGCCGAAGTGAGAATACTCACTCCCTACCCAGAAGGAGTGAAGCCAGAAGCCCTAAAGAATGGGCCGGCATTCCCTGACAAGAAATGGTCAGGGGAGAACGACATGGAATCGTTCTGGCAGTGGTTCACAGAACTACTGGGATTCCTCGCCTCGCGAGGATGCAAAGGTCCCCAATTCGACGAAGTCCACCTGGACTGCTTGATTCGTGGATTAGGGGGACCCGCATTTGACCTCGGAATTAGACTCCGAGACGAAACTCTCCTCAGAGGAGACGAGGGCATGTTCCTCGAGGTTCTCAACATATTGATGAGAACCTTCATCAAAGCCTCCGCCGCGTTGAACGCGACAAAGAAATACCGCAACGTCAAATACGAAGCGGAAAAAGGCCTAAAACAGTTCTACTTAGAACTGTCAAAAGCAGCGTCCCAAATGGTGACGCCGCCAGACCAGGCGTCCTTTAACGCCAGGTTCTTAAACTACATTCCCCTCGAATGGAAGAGGGAAATGATTGCTCATGATAGAATCAGAGCAGACTTCTCCTCAAACGAGGAGATGTTAAAAGCAATATCTCGTGTAGACGAGATAATTGA